TAAATAATTTATAGTGTTATTTCTTGATTTATTGACTTAAACATTGTCTATTTGCTTTCTCTTTGGGTGGATGAAGATTAAATGTTCTTAAGCCCTTGCACATCTTCCTCCAGACCCCACCCATCCTCCAAGCAGAGGAAAAAGCTCAAGTTTTTATTAAATCAATAGTCAGTATTTACATTACGATGTCTCTAAAAGCATTGTTTACTTCTGAGCCTAATAGAATACCCTCTTTTTTATATTAATTCCTGTTTTTCCTGGAATTGATGATTGCCCTATTTTTTGTTTTTTACTTACTTTGTTTTTTGTCTTCATAGACATAATTTTTTCCAAGTGATTCCAAAGATCTGCTGTATACCTACCATTCGTTTTTTTCCACAAACGTTCTGTGGCATCAGGTAATCCGTCCAGGCCCCTTTTTTCCCAGAGCCCCTCCTCCTCTGCTCCTGGAGGCCCAGTAGGATGTGCAGCTGACACCTTCCACCCCTCTCCTGGGTTGGAGCTCCTGTGTCCCACGCTTTTGTTATTGTGATTGTTTCCTAAAGGAGATACGTAGTCCAGTATCTCCCTAAAACAAGATTCGTGGGAAATAAACGTCCCAAGTCTCTACACGTCTGAAATGTCTCCACTCTGTCGTCACATCTACTGGATAGTTGGGTGGGGTCTGACATGTCACTGGTCATTTTCCGCCACCGTCTTGAAGCCAGTGCTCCACTGATTCTTAGCATACGATGTTGCTGCGGAGAAGTTGGCCTCATTCTGACAGCCAGTCCTCTTCAGGTATTCTGTTGTTCTGTGCTGCGTGGGTCATCCCTGTGACCCGGGGTCTGGTCCCCACATTCACATGCCGGGCACTTGAGGCTAAATGAATAGCATACTGTAGTTCTCATTATTTCCTCATCTCCTCCCCTTTGCTTCCTCATTCCTCTCTTTTTGGAAACCTTGTTGGTTGGCACGGAGGCCCCCTGAATGTACAGCTCCTGCTGCAGACTGATAGCCAGAAAGCCCCCTGTTTCATGGGGGGCCCCAGATGTCAGAGCAGGAAGAACTCTGGGCAGTGACCCTCCAGTTTCCCATGAGGTAGGGCTGGGGAAGGGGTTAGGTTGCCCTGGTGGCAACTGTCGGCACAGGAGGGCAGGTGCCGGGGACACCACTGAGGCTGCAGCCTGTGGTGTTTGGCCCCTGCCCACCTCCTCTGAGCCCGGAGCCCCTTGGCACCTTCACAGGATGTGCGTCAGGTCACATCTTGTGGGGTGTGGGCGGTGATCAGGGGCTCTTCTGCCCCCATGCCACACCCTGCCCTCTGTTCACACCCCCTCTTTTGTTGGACAGTAAACCAGAACGTAAACAGCCAGTGTGTCTGGGGGTGTGTATCACAGACAGACAGGGCAGAGGAAGGGAGCTGGGAGCAGGGCCTCTGGGCAGAGGGTGGCCAGGACACAGGCCTGTGGCCGGGGCTGTCTGCTCAAGCTCCTAAGGAGGCTGACAGGCTGCGGGTGTGTGTATCTGCTGCACAGGCTCCCACGCTGGCCAGGCAAGAGCAGGGTAGTCGCCGGCCCCTCGAACAGCTTCCAGAATCTGCTTGAGCCCGTTTTCTCCACCGTAGGCTATGGCTGGGGGACGGGGGGGGGGGCTGCCCGGGCCGTGGCAATGTCCTGCACAGAGAAGGCACCACAGAGAGGTCACCCTAGCACGGGTGAGCCCCACCCTTACCCGGTGGGGCCATCCAGGGGTGCAGCCAGGAGAGAAGCCATGTAGCACAGGGGGCTGTGCCATCAGCTCAGCTCAGCTCGAGGGGTCTCAGCACAGCCTGGAAGGAAGCTCCAAGGACCAGAAGACTCATCGGCATCTCCTGGAACTGGCTAGATACAGACACCAATGCAGACTGTCCCTTGGAGGCCCCTCAGTGACCCCATAGCGACCCCATTCATGGAGCCTTAAGCCCTCAGACACCCAGGCCCCTCTGGCAGACAGCATCAGCCCAGCTGTCTAACCAGGCACAGGCCGCTCACACCTGAGCTCATCCTGCCTCACGACTTGCTGTGTGACCCTGGGCAAGTCAGACACCCTTCTGGGCTGTGAGCAGAGGGACCTGTGGGCAGGCCTCCCATCAATCCTGGCTGTCCAGGTGACAGCTGTAGGTCACTGGGTGGACGTCACCTCCCTGGCTAACATGTCAGATGCACGGCCAAGGACTTTGGGGATGTCCGTCTGCGGCCTCCCCAGGACCTGCAGGCACCAGCTGTGATGGGGCAGGCAGCCCTGTTCCCATTACAGGGACCTGTGAGGGTCTGGGAGCAGCTGGGGCTCACAGCGCCGACCCCGTGGTGGGATGGAGGGCAGTGCTGATGCAGGACCTCAGGCTGAAGACCGAGGGCACACTCTGGGGAGGGTGCTGGTGCTCTGTGCCCACGGTGTGTTCTTGCCCTCAGAGGTCGTCTTTGGGGCCATGTTGAACTCCCAGCTGGCCTTGGCTGGACCCATGTGGACATGCCTCTCTGTCAGTGGACACCTCAAACTCTGCTTTTCTGTGTCCAGGAGGAACTACCATGCTGGCCCAGTTCTATACGAGGGGTCAGGGTCCCACAGGATGGGCGGGGGTCTCCCTGGGGGCCTAAGGACACATGTGAGACCCAGCTGGGCAGAGCAGTGGACACATTCCTTTATGTGCATGTTTCCGGGCGTGTCCCTGTGTCTAGCACTTTGTGCCCACGTGTCTGTCTTGCCCTCTTGACAAGCACTTCTCATGGTCAGGCTTTATAAATGTCTTACACTTCATTCCTACAAAGTTGACCCTTGAACAAACTGACCTTTCTTGTCCTGGCCGCCCACCCCACCCCAATGCTGAAGCCATTGGGGACCTCTAGGCCACTGCTTAACCTCCGGGCTTGGTTTCCTCTGCTAGGGGCTGAAGGTGCTATGTGAGGTGCCCTCCCTGAGGCACATTCTGCCTTGGATCCTCTGACCATCTCAGTCTTGACTCGGGGGCACATTGGCCCTGCTTAGCACACACACAGGAGCCAGCTTCCTTCCTGCCCACCCCCTCCCCTGAAGGAGGCTCTGGTCAAATGAGCTGAGAGGTCAGTGTGAAGTTCCTGCTGTGACACAGGCCCCAGGGGGAGCCCTGTCTGCTTCACAAGGCTTCCCTGGGAGGGAGGTGGTGCTGTCTGAGGTCTGCAGGATGAGCCCGAGTCAGCTGACGAAGCAGAGTGGGAAGACAGCATAGCTAGTGCCAGGGCCCTACGGTGTCTCCTAGGAGCCAGCAGGAGGGTCGAAAGGAGGTGCAGTAGTCACAGAGGGTGCAGGTGGCCTTCTGTGCATCTTCCAAGGGCAGCAAGAACCACCGCACTCTGTTCTACAGGAGCTGGGGTCTGATGTGGGGTGCAGGGTTCTAGTAGGGGCTAGAATATGGGCTGCCTGCAGAGGCTGGAAGCAGAGGTCACTGCCTAGGCTGGGGCACAGTGTGGGGGTGGGGGGGCTTCCAGGTCAAACAAGGACCTGAGCAGAGAACACAGACTAGAACCCAGGCTTCAGGAAGGAGTCAGGAGGCAGGATGCCCTTCCTGCTCTCTACTCCCTGCTGAGAAGGGGGCCCCTGACTCCCTCTGGCCAGGTGCTCTCTCCACTGTCTGCCTTGGCCACCCCCCACTTCTGGTGGCACAGTCCCAGCCAGTGGGAGCCCCTGCTCCCCTGTCTCCTCAGCAGTCTGCTTAATGCGACCAGCCTCCATCTGCCCTCAGGAGCCACCGGCTAGCTTCCCCTCTCCCTGGGCTATGCTCGGGGTGGGGGTGGAGGAGTCCCAAGTCCCCTAATGAAGGTGCTTCAGAACTGCCACCCTGAAGTTTTCTAGGTGTCTGTCGGTCATACCCCCCACTGCGTTTGCTTTTGCCAGTCGCCCTGCCCAAGCCCCCCTGGGAGATGTGCAGTCGATCAGCCTGCTGCCTGCAGACCCCCTGAGGTGCCCTATGCCTCTGCAGCTCCCCGAGGGGGTAGCGACATGGGAGGTGGGTTGGTTGGGGTTCCTGTGCATCTGCTTCCATGCTGCTGTCCGGGGTGGGAGGGGAGGGGCAGCATTCCTGGAGCTTTTCCTCCGGAGTGGTGTGTGGGGCCCAGTGGGCTCCTGCACCCACCCCAGCCCTGGTTGGCCTTGGCCTTGGACTTGCCCCACCAGGCACAGGCTGCCGGTTCTGCCGGCCCTGGAGGAGAGGCCTCCTAGAAGTACACACACATGCCTGTCACTGGAACATCTGGAAGTCGCCCCCTGCCTGCTCCATCCTGGCCATATCAGGGCAGTCGTCAGGCTAGGCAGGGACGTGCCTGTCATACAGGGACTCACTTCCCTGAGTTATGGACGCCCCTTGCATACAGCACGAGGAGGTGGCATCTGGAAGGATGCCTGACTTCCTGGGGTGGAGACTGCTTCTGGGAGACAAGGTCACAAATCATGAGTTATGGGTCCCCTGGGAGTCCTGGGTTGGGCGGACTACTGGTTGCCATCCCCCACGGGAGTAGGCAAGCTGTGGGCCTGTGGGAGGCAGACCTCACACGGGGTCTGCCACTGTGAGCAGCTCCTTACGCCTCTGGTCCCTGGGGGCACCGGCGCCCGCAGCTCCACCCCACCGCAGGGCAAAGACAGGCTGCCCTTCTTAAGGAGGGAGCACAGAAGGGCGGCCTTGGGGTTCAGAGGAAGCCACGGGGCCAGGCACTAAAGGACCCCACGAGAGTCACACCTGGCAGACATGACAGTGACCGTGGTGCCCTTTCCAGGCTGTGTCACATCTCAGCTCCTGGGCTTCTCATTCAGAAGTTGCCGTTTGGAGAAACTAAGCATCACAATTGGTATCAGGTGCTTGGGCTCCCACCTATAGCCCCAAAGCAATCAGATTTGGAGCTCCAGCTTCCTCCCTCCTTCAACTCCAGCCTCCTCCCAAAATGGTCCCTAAATACTCTGCCTCCCCACTTGTGCCCTCATCTTACCCCTCCGTCCCCATCTCCTTACAGGAAGTTCTACTACATCACCCTGCTGCGAGACCCCGTGTCCCGCTACCTGAGTGAGTGGCGGCACGTGCAGCGGGGGGCCACGTGGAAGACGTCGCTGCACATGTGCGATGGGCGCACGCCCACGCCCGAGGAGCTGCCGCCCTGCTACGAGGGCACGGACTGGTCGGGCTGCACGCTGCAGGAGTTCATGGACTGCCCCTACAACCTGGCCAACAACCGCCAGGTGCGCATGCTGGCCGACCTGAGCCTGGTGGGCTGCTACAACCTGTCCTTCATCCCCGAGGGCAAGCGGGCGCAGCTGCTGCTGGAGAGCGCCAAGAAGAACCTGCGCGGCATGGCCTTCTTCGGCCTGACGGAGTTCCAGCGCAAGACACAGTACCTGTTCGAGCGGACGTTCAACCTCAAGTTCATCCGGCCCTTCATGCAGTACAACAGCACGCGGGCGGGCGGCGTGGAGGTGGACGAGGACACCATCCGGCGCATCGAGGAGCTCAATGACCTGGACATGCAGCTCTACGACTATGCCAAGGACCTCTTCCAGCAGCGCTACCAGTATAAGCGGCAGCTGGAGCGCAGGGAGCAGCGCCTCAAGAGCCGCGAGGAGCGCCTGCTGCACCGCGCCAAGGAGGCGCTGCCGCGGGAGGACGCGGAGGAGCCGGGCCGCGTGCCCACCGAGGACTACATGAGCCACATCATTGAGAAGTGGTAGTGGCAGCCGGTCATGTGGGGCGGCCCCGCGAGGGCGGGGGGCGGGACAGGGGAGGGGAGATCAGACAGACCCACCCACCCACCCGGAACTGTCGTGGGACGGGGGTCCCAGCTGCGCTCACCGGAAGGTAGATGGCGCTAAACAAGGATCAGGGAGTGGGGGTGTGGCGGCCCACGGGGTCTGAGGCATCCACCCGTGCAGACCACCCCCCACCCCCGAGCCCCCGAGAGCGAGCCTGAGGGATGCCGCGGCAGGCCTGCACAGGTGGGGCACATGGTGTCCCTGCTCTCCTGCCCCCTGCTCTCACACAGTGGCCAGCCTAAGGTCTGCGACGAGAAACAGACAGCAGAGAGTGCAGATCGGACCTGGCGGCCAGGAGCGGCCTACACCCACTGTGCACGCCTGCTGGCTCACTCCCCCGCAGGCCAGCCTGGGCCCAACACCAGCTCCTGGCATCTTTCCAGGCCCAGGCCACCCAGGCATCCCCTTGGCCTCCAGTGCCCCTGGGCCTGAGTGAAGCCCCTTGAGGTGTCCTCAGGAATGGAGCTTCTAGCTCACCCATCTTCATGGTCAGGGCCCACCCCACCTGAAGCCAAGAAGACCAGTCCTGCCCCTGAGAAGCCCACTCTCTCTGACCCAAGGTCAAAAAACACACTCTGGCTTCTTGCTTTGGGTCAGGAGATCAAAGCACACCTCCTGGGGCCCCTCCCCCCCATCTCCCATAGTCCTCAAGCTAAGGAGGGCTGCAGGGAGATGGGCCCACATGCACTGTCCCCTTCTGTGGAGAGAGAGTGGGAAGGAGTGGGAAGGCTGTGTCCTAGCACCTTCCCGCCCAGCTGGCCTTTGGGGGGTGACCACCAAGCCAGGCCAGCTCAGACAGAAAGAGTTTCCCCTGTCCCATTTACCTTTCTGACCCTCTGAGATTTGGTAACAGACTGGCCCTGGCCCTGGGGTCATCACTTAGATGTTTATTCAGGGCTCATACCCACTGTTCACACAGTCCCATGTGCAGAAGTACAATCAGGCCTCCATTGGCTAGAACCCAGCAGACTCTACCTGCTGCCCACGAACCGTTCTTGGGGCCACTGTGGTTCTGCATGTCCAAGAAAGGGGACTTGGGCTTTCTGATTATCGCTTATAGAGTTGGAAGAAATGGCTCTCAGTGGCTCCCCAGTACCCAGATACACAGCCCTTCCCACCCCGCCTCTCCCTGCATTTCCCTCTGCCCAACCCCTGACCACAAGCAGGTCAGGCCCTGTGCTTGGCAGCCCTGCAGATTGGAGAAGCCATGTTCTGTATCCATTGTAGACACTTCCCCCCTGCCTTGCCCGCCCTGTGCTCCAGGAGGCCAGGCTACTGCCTTCTCTGGGGGTATTATCCCCACATGAGGCCCAAGACCTGGGATCAGTGTGAGATGGACAAGTGCCCTCTCCAGAAGAGGACCCACACGTGCCTGGAGGCTATGAGCCTCCCTCGTGAGGGCAGTGAGGGCCACGGCCAGCCTGTTGAGGGCAGCAGTCTCTCAGGCAGATTCTCCCAGGAGCCCTCCTCCCTGCCCCAGGTTCGCCTCGGCCGCCCCAGCTGTCCCATCCCAGACATGTGGGGGCGGGGAACCTTCCATAGCACAGGAAACACTGCAGTGCTGTAAATGAGCGGCCCTTAGTCTTCGCCTGCGTGGCATAGGTATGGTGCCCATACCTCCTGCTTCCCACACTGACCACTTTATCTTACAGTCCACAGGCTGTGCTTAGCCAGCCGGGCTGGGCATCATGCCTATGCCACCCAGGATCACTCCCAGAGTGGTGGTGTCATGCTGAGCAGGCGGGCACCCAGGTGATTTAGTGGTTCTTTCAATGGGTAGTGAAGGTCAGCATGAGGGGGGAGGGGGAGAGATCTGACACTCATCCTCTGGGGTGGGCGTGCTCCAGGGAGGAGTGTGGGATGTGTTCATGAGAGCTCTGGGGTCTCGGACAAGCACGTGAGGTGCTGGGGACTTGCTGTGGCCTTCACCAGGAGGTGGTCAATGCCCACTCCTGGTGGGAAGCTCAGCCCCATTCTGCCTGAGTCCCTGGGCACCCGGCCCTCCCGAGGTGGGCTTCCTGCGTGTGCCCCCTTGAGTGTAGGATCTGTTTTGTACATATTGGAATGTTTTAACTTATGATCCGTTGTCCCAATTCACACGGAAACACGGGTCTCTCCTTGGTTTCTTTGCTGCATCTGGAAAACGGTCCCGTGTGGGGCCAGTGCCCAGGCCAGCACCCAGAGATAGCAGCAGGTGCCAGTGCCCTCGGCCCCTCACGCCTCCAGCCCGGCACTTCTGCTCAGGCCACCCTGCATTAAGGTGGAAGCTTCTCGTGCCTGCCATGTCCTCCAACACCACCACCGGCTGGGGATCCACTGAAGGGGTGCCCCTCCCAGGGGCTCTGCAGGCGGCTGGGGGGACAGAGGCAGCACACGGTGAGCAAACGGCCCACTCCTCACACAGACCTGCAACATCTCCTCCTGGAGGAGGAAACAGGGACGGCAAAACTGTCCGAGCAATGAGTCTCTGACCTTTTTGGGAACTGGAAGTGTTTAACTTGAACACAGGAGCGTTTAAAGCTTTATTTATTTATAGCTTCTTCTTAAAAAAAAGTGTTGAGAAGAAATCTTTTGGTTATCCATACAAGAAAAACGAGTTGATGATGGAAAAGCAAGTCATAATCATCTAATTGTTTTTGTCTAGGTCAAGAATGAATGTTAGCAGATGAAATAAACCCTTGACAAGGAGCCTTGAGTGTGCCGTGGTCTGTGGTAACAGCCATCGCCCAGCGTGGTGTGGCCAGACCTTCTGTGTTTGATTTTCAAAATGAGCATCCGAGCAGAGGGGTGGAGGTTGGAGCAGGGGCTTCCTAGGTGGGGGCAGCCCAGGAAGAGAGGAGTTCACGCACGGAAGCAGCCCTTTCTGAAAGCAAGAGGTGTACCTGTCATCACCACGAAGCACAGTGTAGTGATCGTTAATGGCCACACTTGGAAACAGGAGCCCCAGCCTGAAGTGAGGCTGACACACGCAGACACCATGTGCTTCTCGGGGACCTCTTTCTCCTTAACTGTTAATTTGGAAAGACTTGCGGATGACATGGACACCCATAAATGCTCAGCCTGGGTTCACTCAGGTTAATGTTTTGTCACGCCCTACTGTCCTGCACTCCTACTTATGCTCTCTGCACACACACACGAGGACACAGAGATACACTCAGACACATGCACGTTCTTCTAGAATATTTGAAAGTCAGCTGCAGTCCTCAGAATTCTCCCCAACCACATCAGCACATATGTCCTAAGACCGACATCGTGCTATGAAACTCCACCCCATTGTCCTCTCCCCAGATCTAACATCAACAGTACTACGAGCTAACGTACATTCCCTGTCTAAATTCCCCACGGAGGCCCGTGGTGTCTTCAGGTCTTCTTTGTGAGCCGAGGACTATGTGGGCTCAAGGGTCCTCTTCTCCCGTCTTCTTTCACCAAGCAGAGACCCAGAGCACACCACCCACTGTTCCCTTTCTTGGCACTGACATTTTAACATCGGCCGTTTGTCCCTTAAAACGTCTACATGAGTCTGTCTTCTCATGATCAGATTCAGTTAGGGGCACTGGAGCGGCTGTCAGTTGAGCGGCCCACTCTTGATTTCCGCTCAGGTCAAGATCCCAGGGTCATGGGATGGAGCCCTGCATTGGGATTCTCTCTCTGTGTCTCTCAATTTCTCTCTCTCCCTCTGCCCCTACCTTCTGCTCTCTCATGAGCTCTCTCTCTCTCTTTCTCTCTAAAATAAAAACTAAAAAAAAACCAAAAAACATTTGGGCACAAATGCCACACAGATGAGGCTGTTTTGACTACTAGCCCTGATGGATTTTAGTTCTTTTGATGAGACCGGGAGGGCCCTTACTCATCTTCTGGGTCTCAATGTGACCACAGGGCTGATAAAGGCGCCAGCTCATTGCCTCTCCTTCAGGGAAATGATCTGTTGTGCTCAGAGCCGGGACCAGCTGACGTGAGATGGTGTTATAGTGGGGGCTCTAGTGCACCAACCTTGTTTTCCACGAGGGTCCTGGGGAGACCCAGCAGGCTGTCAGTTCCCAGTTACTGTCACGTGCAGAACTCTAGAAAAGCTACTTTGGAGCTAGTGGGCCTAAGAGGGTCTCCTACTCCCCCCCCCACAATGTGTGTCTGGACACTCCTACCTGGCCCTGTCCACCACACATAGTCGGGGGGGAGGGGTGGGGGAGAGTAACTGGGGGAAGGGCGGGGTGGCTGAGGCCTCCCCCACCATCTGCTTGCAGAGCGAGCCCCTGAACATCTGGGAGGGGGAGCAGAAACCCAGGAGATGGGGGTCACCCCTAGTTCCCAGGGGGCAAAGGTGACCGCGCACGCACTCGCCTGAGTTTTTCCACGTGGGGGAGAGAGTGAGGGGCAGACACGGCTGACCCTTCAAACCCCAACCTTGCTGACCCTCTGAATCTGTGAGGGGGTGTCTCTTTGGTAACAGGGCCCCCGCAAAGAGGCATTCTGCACAGAGCCCCAGTGTGGAAAGACCTGGGCAGCCACGCACCATCCCCCTGCCCTATACACACACACACCTCGATTTGCCCCTCCCTGAACATTTCATCTGGAGTCCGCAGCCTGATCCCCCATCTGGGAGCACAAGACGGAAGTCAGTCGTGGAAACACCTCCCCGCCAGGACGAGAGTTCTCATCTTCCTACTTCTATTTGAAGTTGGAGGCCCCCTTTCAAGCCTTCCTCCTGGGCCCTGCCCCATTCACCCCAGCCCAGCGGTGGGCTGTAGCCCCGCCCCCACGCAGCAATTGTGAACCCCGCCCCTCCCACGATCCCTGGACTCTGGGTTCGGAGCAGCCCCCCAGCCCCTGTGGCCAGCTGCCATCCAGCACCCCGCCCCCACCCCACCGCCTCCCCTGCTGTCCCCTCTTCTCACACTCACCGTGACCAACAGCTGCCACTTCCTGGGGTGGGCCTGCTACTCATGCTACTCACTGGCTTTACAGGGATTCTCACTCCAAAACCTTCTGGCTCCGGCTTGTCCTGACCCCATGGCCTGCAAGCTTCCGCTTCTCTCTTCCTGCGGGAAAGTTGTCCCTACCCATCCCGCCCGGGCCTGGTCCCCTTTCCAGTGGCACAGGGAGGAGCCCATGTGCTTCCAGCCCAGACTGCCCGTGCTCCAACGAGAGGACACGGCAGCCCTCAGACCCCACCCCCACCCCGAGCACGTACCTGGTCTCCCGGACCTTGAAACTAGGAGGCCTCCAGACGCGGCTGTCTGCATCCACGTCGCAGGGACCCCTTGCCCAGCACCCTCTTCTGGCTGACCAGCCCCCTCCCCACGAGCTTTTCCGGTGGTGGCCCCTCCACAAGCCCTAGCTTGAAGGCCTTCACGTCCAATGCCCAGGGCCCCCCCCCCCTGCTATGAGGCGCCGGCCCTGGGCTCCCTCCCTGCTGCTGCAACACAGAAACCTCTCAGGAGTACTGCCTGTCGTCACATCGGGTTTGGATGCCCCCTGCCCCGCTGACCTGCTGTCAGCTCCAGAGAGGAGCCAGGCCCCGGCAGGGCACAGAACTCGAGGCCTTCAGCCCCAGCTCTGACCTCAGACAAGCCCTGCTGGGGAGGGTACACAGAGCTGACCCCTCCCACCACCACCTGGGTCACACCACCCACGCTGCCCACCAAAGAGCAAAGTCACAAGGTCATAGCCTCTCCTACAGGCACAGGTACGGCCTGCTCTCTCCTTGACCTTTCTTTCCCTAAGGACAGTGACAATTTTCTGGTTTTTTTTTTTTAAATGTTTTATTTATTTCTAGGAGAGAGAGAGAGACAGCATGAGCAGGGGAGGGTCAGAGAGAGAGGGAGATACAGACTCTGAAATAGGCTCCAGGCTCTGAGCCGGCAGTCAGCACAGAACCCGACGCGGGGCTCGAACCCACGAACCGTGAGATCATGACCTAAGCGAAAGTCTGACGCTTAACCGACTAAGCCACCCAGGCGCCCCAGGACAGTGACAATTTTCCAGGTCCCTGCTCACCAGCCCATCCGTCCCCACTTGGTCACCGCCATCTTGTTTCCTGCTCCTAGGAGCTGGGTGGGTCACCCCCGCTGCCTTTTCTCCTTGCCAAACACATACAGAGACGCTGCTGGACCCCCACTTCCCTCCATCCCCAGCACAGCCCACGCAGGCCGGGCCTTCTGGGCTGTGGCCCTAGGCTCTAGGTGGGACCAGGCTCCTGAGCAGGCGCAGATGAGGGATCTGAATTTACACAGCACTGCCCAGACTTTTCCCCAAACATGCCCTTCATAAAGAATCGGCTCACATCCTGACTTCCAGTCTCCATTCCCTCTGACATGGGTTTAATTGTTTTTAATGTGTCCATTCCAGCTCACAGTCTCTCTTGGTCAGAACCAGTGTGTTAGGAATCCCCCGTCCCCTTCTGCTTCCCCTCCTCTCCGGGTGCTCAGAGGACACTTCTGAGGAGTGGCAGGGGGCTCACACAGGTTCCCCCTCCACTGTCCCCCAGCCACCTTGTTAAGAGGACCAACAGGTCCTGGTCAGGACCAGCCAGCCTCTGTCCTCACCAGCTCCCCTGCAGGGGACCAGGGCCGTCAGGACACAGGGTCTAACCTCATGTCTTAGGTGAGGCAGTTGGTCCCCTTTGGTGACCTGCTGTTGGACCCCCACCTCATTCTCCCAGCACTGTCACCCCTGTCTCCTCCCCTACCCCATGCTCTGGGACGCCCATCCCCACAGCAGGCAGGTTCTTAAGCACGCTTCCCGGACAGGTTACCCTCCCAGCAGCCACAGAACCCTGCTTTTCCGTCCGAATGTGCCACACTGCCATTTCTGCTCCCCTGCAGCGGCCCCCTGCCACAAATGCATGGCTCTGAGGTCCCAAGCAGGCTGGGCATGGCCCCCCTTGCTGCCTCGCTCTCAGCCCATCCAGTTTCCAGTGTCTGGCCCAGCAAAGGCGGTGGACGCAGAGCGCTCAGACCCAGGGTGCCTTTCCCCTCCTGTCTTCCTGAGTTGCCTCACCCGAGTGCCCCCAGCAGCTCCCCGCCCCCCCCACTTGTCCTCAGCAGCCCCCTCCCCCTCCCCCATTCTATAGCTCATCAAAACCCTGGAGATTCCTCTGTGAAAGGAAGCCTAGGGAGAGAAGCCACTTTTCTTTCTCAAACATAAAGCCAAGCATTCAAGACGCAGCGACTCGAGGGAGCCGGCCTGGAGCCTTGCGGCTGGGGCTCGGCAGGCTGCTTTGTTCTCCGCGTGCCCGCCCTTCCCCAGGAGCCAGGAGGCCGGATTCGCCGGAGCTCCAGACAACATTGTTTGTGAGGAGCCCGACACATCAGCTCTGGAGTTCCACAGCGCTGGCTCCAGGGAGTGGCCCGTGGTGTGACAAAGCCACACTCACAAGGGCTGCTCTAAGTGGCTCTGGCAGGAAGGGCTTCCAGGGGAGGAAGGCTTCCAGGAGAAGGGAGACTGGGCTGGATCGCTCCCACGCTCTTCTTCCCAAGCACGTGGAGAGGTGCCCTTGGCTGGTTTCAGCGGGCACTCCACTCAGGATGGGTTTTAGGGGCCCCTGGGTGGCTCAGTTTGTCACGTGTCTGACTCTTGATTTCAGCTCAGATCATGATGTCAAGGTTCAAAGGTTTGAGCCCCACATCATGCTCTGCGCTGGGAGCACAGCTCCTCCCCTACTCACGCTGTCTCTGTCTCAAAATGAAGAA